GAGGGGAGAACCTAGGCAGCTGAAGCCAGCAGAGTACCTGCCATTTCTGGGAAATCTTGATGGGAATTGCACTTGGACTCCAAGAACACAACAGATGCAGCCTCTGCTCTCAGCCAGCACTGCCCTTGGACTCCAGGCTAGAGGGCCCCTGTCCTGGACCCCATCCTTCAGAGGGCCCCATTCTGGCCCTTTGTCAGCCAGGCCCTCCCCACAGGGCCAAGGGGACGTCTACCAACATCCCACAATCTCCTCTACACCATGCTCTGTGGTCCTTTAGCTCCATCTTTATCACTCTACCCTGCCAACAAGACTTGAAGTATAATATTAACAGTATTATTGACCACTGTTACCCTAGGCAGTCCTCTACTGCAGAGCCTCTCTCAGCTGCAGCAACTTCTTGGGAAATTTTCATGTTTAAAGGACCATGGTGACTCACCCCCTCAGGCTGACAAAATAGGAAAATCCACAATTACTGTGTAGGAATCCTTGGTGGTTCATACCTAAGACACGAGGGTAGGAAGCCTCAACAGTAGACATGCTGCTGAGAAACTCACACTATTGGCAGAACAATAAGAGTTATATATTGGCAGAGTAAGCCTCTGGGGAAACTGTTCTGTTCTTCCTAAGGGTATCGTCAAGCCCTTTGGCTATTCTGTATGCAGCCCATCCATTTAGTGTTCCACCAACACTGGTAGCTGTAATTGACTGAAAAGGCTTCTTTGTTCACAACATCCATGTGAAGTGACTAAAAAGGCTTGATCAAGAATCCATGTTAACTTCATATGACTATTCCGGAGGAAGAATATCTTGATTACGGTAGAATTCTTTCCAAAGTGGCTTTTAATGTTTTTAGTTTCATCTCTAACTTCTGCTGCTGTATGCTAGTTATTTACAGCAAACAGATATCCAGCTGCTACTGTTTATGAATGCAGACCTTCAACTGAGTTTAAACACCTTAAACAGGCACAGTAACAAGGCTGCCAGCCCTTAAGGCTTGGTAAAGATTCCAGGCTGAATGGATCATCCTGGCAGCTAAGAATGACCTCAAGGGGACTGAGGGGGAAGACTAACCATTGCTCAGGAAGCTGTTTTCACACGGACAGCTGGGGTCAGCTGTGACTGTTCAACATTAATTGAGGCAATATCTCAAGACAAATCTGACTTTACTTAAATTTAAGGATTTATAAGATCAACTTGCATCTAGAAATAGTTATCATTGGTTGAGTGCCTACCATGCATCAGACTCTGTAAGACCTTTGCATTTATTATCATATTTAAATTCTCATGAAAAGGATGTTATAATAACTACGAACAGTTATTAAACCATCACTACATGATAGACTGTATGGACAGCTTTACATACATCTTTCAATTAGCCCTCATTACACCATCTGATGTGGTTATACTATTATTCCTCCCTAACAAAAGAGGAAACTGGGCTATAGTCAGAGTAGGAAAGATGAGGCTGTCACATGGTCAATAACTGGGACCTTCCTCCAGGGCTTGTGCTTCTAACCACGTCACAGAAATGCTTATCTGTAAGATAGCTGGACTCATCACCATCATTTTACCATTGAGGGAACTGTAAGTCATTTGTTCAAGGCCATACTGTTAGGAAATGGTAGAGTATGACGGGCGTATCTCTCCCCAAACCCTGGGCCTGCTTTGCCAGTTCAATTGCCGTCCTGTTCTGGACAGCTCTGTTTATATATGTTCTTCAATAATTTGCATATAAGGCTTAAACTTTTTTAGAAATTATACAGCAGGAAAAAATGGGGATTTCTGCTACTATAAATGAAGTAATGGAACCTGAATTATGCAAGATTGAGCCATGACGGGCCATGGGTCATTCCCACCCAAATCAGCTAAGAAGGCGCTCCCTGAAGGTGGGCTTGACCCTGGCAGAGCCACTAGAACATTTCTTTTGGATTATATACTTTTCTTTATACTGTTCTGTATTTTCTAAATTTTCTACAATGAGCAAATGTTACCTTTTAAAATCAATGTTCACAGATAATACTGAACACATTCTCATGTTAAACATTCAACTGCACAAAGCCCTTCCCTTAAACTCTTCCCTTCCACTCCTCTATTCCAGTCTCCTTCCCAGAGGTAACCATAGTTTAGAAGTTTGTATGAATTCTTCTAGACCTGCACTATCCTATAAGGAAGTCACTACCCACATGCAGCTATGGAACACTTAAAGTGTCCTAGTTCAAACTGAAATGTGCTTGGAAGCACAAAATACATACGATATATAAAGACCTACCATGAAAAAAGAAAGTAAAATGGCTCATATAATTTTTATATTGATTACATGTTGAAATGATAATATTTTGGGTATATTGGGTTAAATAAAATATAATATTAAATTAATTTCATGTTTCTTTTTTCCTTTCCTAATATAGCTACTAGAAAATGTGGCTCATAATGTATTTCTATTGGCCAGCACTGCTCTAGAGTCTAGATCATGTTTAGTACATTTACAACTGATATAAACACAGAAATATATGGTTTTCGGCATTCTCTAACATAAATATGCATTACTTTTATACTTGGATTAAAGCTTTTTTTCTTAAAAAAAGAAGTATAATCTTTAAATGCATTGGGCATTAAATTAATTCCTTTATTCCTCTTCCTCCGCCTGCCATATTTCTAGAGAACCTGCAAAGCCTCAGAGTGAAGAAAGCAATAATTATTCTTGGCCATACAAATGCCGAAGTGAGTACACCTAATATTTGGATTAATTCAACACAGGTACAGATTAACAAAAGGGTATCCCCTTGTTGGATAAAAGAAAGTGCTAGCCAATGGAGGAAGGCTTTGGAGTTAATGGGTCCTAGACAAAAGACATCGGAAATTGCCACATTTGCCAAAAATGACTAGAATAAGTTATTTTTAAATGACTAGATCCAAATTTGCTATTCTTATCATGTCACCTCTTTCTCTCAGATGTTTTTTGCAACAGGCATGATCCCATTACTTGTTGTTGGGTGACTATGTCCTACTAACTACTTTTCAGTGTGATCAGTGTTGCATATAAAGCGCCACCTCAGTTCAGCTGTTGAATGCTGATCGTTGGAAACAAACGGTGACCCATGTGACCTATGTGATCCCTACTTCGCTAAGTTCTGACTAGTTGAAGTAATACTGCAAATATTTTATAATGTACCTACTAGGTTTTATTTTGTCTAAGTAAATATCTAACAATAAATCCAGCTCAGTGGATTCTGCAAAAGAAATGACCCCAAACAAGTGCCTCTTTCTCTCCCACTTAAAAAACGCCTGTATAGACATAAACGATTTACACAGACTGCCCTCGTGTAAATGAACTGGGAGCACGTGCACATGCAGCATTCTTGGTTGGGCTGGAAGGGTGTTTACCACGGTCTAGCAAGGCCTTAGCACATGCAAAACATTGGCAGCTCTTACTTGGCCTCAGTGTAGAACCTCCTTGAGGGCAGAGGAGAGGCAAAGCACATTAGGCATGAGCAGAGGTGCTATGATAACTCATCATTCTCTTTCCGTGATGCTCCTGAGTGTCCTGTCCCATTTGCGTCCCTCTGGTTATCTGCTGCCTTGACAGTGGACTGCCGTGGCAGGCCTGTTTATTCTTTTGCCCACTTGTTGCTGCCCTGAGACAAGCTTCCCAATGAGTGAAATGAGACACTGGATGAGGAGTGCCACAATTTTCTTCTAGCTGGTAATTCTCCCAGTGTAACAAATCAAATTTTCCTTGAGCAGATTCCATGGGGGCTGTTTTGAATGCTCCATATCGATAGGACATTTGAAAAGTGTTTCTTTTCTCTTCCTCCTAATTCCTCACCACCTTTTTCCTTCATTCAAGGAAGAATAGAGAGAAAACAAAACAGAAACAAAGCCTAGAGTAATACAGGGATTTTCAACGTTTCCTGAAGTGCTATATATCACTGCAATTAAGATAATCTTTTGAAACCTGAAAAAAAGAGAGAAAAAAATCCTCCCTTAATTAGGATTGACTTCATCTGAGTAGACAGCATCTGCTGTAGCAGCCCAGCCCTGCCTCCCTGGTCTTGGCAGCCACAGGTGAGTGTGGCCCCCTCTCATTTCCCACGGTCCTGCTCAAGAAGCTGCCAGGGAGCTCTCAGGCAGTATCAGCCGCAGCAAGCGGGGTGGGAGCCCGGGGGGTCTCCACCCACTAGCAGCTGCTTAAGTAGTAGGCAGGGGAACTAGTCTACAGAGAAATTCAGGTCAGTAGATACTCCAAACCAATTTATACCACATGCTACCCAGTTGTGGAATTAAATTAAAATGCTAAGAAAGGACCTGGGATGCCAGTCCCCTTGTTTTTTCCCCACCTTGTGCTTGGAACCCAAAAGAATAAAACGAGAACAGTCGGACTTGGTGGTTTAAAGGGAATTATTAGGCAACTGGAAGGCAGTGGAGGCAGCGTACACCAAGGGAAGCTGTCTTCAGGGAACATCATGTACCAGTGATTAAATGTCAAGACCCATCATTGTCCAAGTGGTGACATCTGCACAGGCTTAGTAACTTGCTCATTCAGATTTAACCAAAAGACAAGCTTGACAGATTATCAGAATCTTTGGGGGAGGACGGTGGGTGAAGTGGGAAAAGGAGTGAGATAATTTTTAAAAACGACTTCATAATTTTTTTTTTAAAAAGCACAATATTATCACCTCAGTGGTTTTTGCTACAGTCTATTTTAGTGTAATGTGAGATAGAAGTTTTGGCAAAAGTAGAGAAAGCATTTCCAAATAAGTCACTATGGATTACGTTACAACCCTAAAATAAAAATGCATAAATGTGTTTGTCTGTCAGACTTTAGTATATTTTTGTTAACACTTTCCTTGTGGAAGAAATTTCACTTTTTCCTATGCTACTTCCTTAATAATTTACTATGGCTTTAACAAGTGGCTAAGAGCTGGGTTCAAAATTTTATATATATAGTTAAAAATAATTCTTTACATTCCTTCACCAATAGGAAAACATTAAATGATTACCTCTGTAAATTTGTTCCGATTGGCTTGCAAGCCAACTTTTACTACCTCAAAAGGGTTAACCACGATGGCTTCTGTTAGTCCAGATCCCAGTCCAGCAATGGCAAATGTCTAGAAAAATTAAATCAATCAATACTTTAAAACAAGTTATCATGTGTACTGGGTTAAGCATCCTACTCATTACACTGTGCAGCTGAATGTTATGAGAATGGAGAAACATACATAAATGCACCATATACCATTACCAAACAGCTTTAGTTCTTGATTAGATGCTGACAATTCATGAAGAAGAAATTACAGGAGCCACAAACCACATCCTAACAATTCAAAATAAAACGTCAAAGCCCCATCAACAACGACTTTTTCCTTTAATGAAAAGAAAGGTTGTTTTACTGATTCAAGGTGGATACTAAAACATCTGCACACGTAACAATTAAAAGAGAGTTTGACTTGTAAAAGGAGAGCTTCATTTTTAAACATCTACTTAAATACATTTATTGAGCATATAAAAAAATTCAAGGAGCAGAACCACGAATAAAATGTTTATAAAAAGCTAAATTTCAGGTAACAAGTGTTAGCTGAAAACATGTAAATGTATAGCCACGTTCTTAGAGTCACTATTCTAGACAATTAACAAACATAAAATTATTTTTTATTCATCTTTTCCCTATTTTTATTGCCCTATTCTTCTAGACCTAGAAGTTGAGGAATAAAAGCTGAGATCAGAAGTGGCTGGTTGTTCTGAAGGGCTCAACTAAAATCTAGAACATTTATCAAAGGATGACTGTATGTCAGGTTCTTATTTGCTATCTGTTAAGAATTTCTGCAATAGGAAAGAACAACTTTCTAGAATTTTCCTCTAAGTAGAATGCTTAAAGTTTTTTTCAGAAAATCTGTATAAAAAGTAACCACAACATTTAAAACACACATTCACCAGAAAAACAAAATGAAACGAAGCTTCAAACCTCCAAAACAGATACTGAAAAAAAATAATTCTTTATTTGCTGAAGTTCTAATTCCAGAAGAGCCAGTACCATATACAACTAAGAGAAGAAAAAAGCCAACACAGAGTAAAGAATGGGTAACTCTTATCAGGCGTCTAATTTCTTCAAAGGAGGAAATTAAAGAAAAGAGAGAAGGGAATGTTCTGTAACCTTAGAAGAGGAGGCAAGAAGGAGGAATAGGAAGGGATGTAGAGCCAGGAGGTCTGGGTGGAGGTCCTGGTTCTGCCACTTACTGGCTGTGTGACCAGAGCTGCCATGCACAGTAGTTCGTGCACAGATAAAGGTGTGGGTATAGGCTGGAACCCAGCCTGCACCCCACTTGCCACGCTGGAGACCTGAAGAGGCATCAGTCAGAGAAAGGGGCGCCTTTCTTCATTCACACAAAGGCACCGTATGTGCTAGCTGCAGCTCTGTGTCTAAATCACTGTACCTTTTATAAGCCATGGTTTTCTCATGTGTAAAATGGAGACAATAATATCTAATCTCCCTACCTCATAAGATTATTATGAGGGTCAAAATAATGTGTGAGAGTCCCGTGTAAAGTGCTATACAAAACCACTGTACTTGTTACACATAAAAACGGAGAGGAAAAATGGGATTGTATACAGATTCAAGGAGAGACGGAATAACTAATGGTGTTTTCCTTTTATGCCCCTTCATTACGATTTTAAACATATTTGTATAGGGTAACAGACCAAACAGTTTATTCATTTATCTCAGACTTCCATCATGGAAGCCAAAAGCGGAAAAAAAAAAAAACTAGAAAGCTAAAATCCAGATGTTCAGCTTTTTATTACTTACTACATGCAATCTTCCAAGTAATTTGCTTTTTGTTCTTCTATAAAACTCAGATACATTTGCTGTCAGAACTAGCGTTCAGCAGTCCCTTGTCAAAAGAACTGATCAGCTATCAGCAGACTGCATTACTTAGATTGTTTCAGAGACCAGCACTAACTGTCGGGTTCCCAGCCTCCCAGGCTTTCCATGTGTGCGCATCAGGGGACATTTAAGGGCTGTTTAAGTTTCTAGCTGTATCAAAAAGAAACTGGAATACATGAGTTCAAAGAAAGAGAAAAACCGTCTACAGTCTGCAAGCACTTGGTTATGGTAGCTGGAGTGGCCAAATGCTTTTCTGTTTCAAATCTCAAGAGAGTTGAAAGAGCTGCAGTCTCTCACATGGTACCAGTGCTCGACGCAGGAACAGCCAGCTGGCCCTCTGGAGACCATACTTTATTATCTCCTGCTAGGAGATAATCCTCTCTTTACCAAGATGTTTTGAAAGTTAAGAGTGACATGAAGGGAAGACAGTGAGGAATTTAAAAAGAAAAAAAAAACTTAGGGGCCTGCTCAGCGGTGTAGTGGTTAAGTTCAGATACTTCACTTTGGCGGCCTGGGGTATCCGGGGTCAGATCCTGGGTTCGGACCTACACACCACTCCTCAAGCCATGCTGTGGCGGCCTCCCTCATACAAAATAGAGGAAGATTGGCACAGATGTTAGCTCAGGCATGATCTTCCTCACCAAAAATAAAAAATAAAAATCTTAGCTAATTTTAGGACTCATGCTACCACTTTTTCCAAACAAGGCCACTTCCCAGGCACCTTGTATAGGCAGGAGGCTGGACAAGAGATTTCTTAATAGGACCCTTCCTAGAAAAGGCGCATGTATGGTTTTTAAAATAACAGATACTTCTTCTTGGACACTCTATTTGGCGAGTGAATATTCTGAAGTGAACCCTTACAAGTAAAGTAATTAAAGAGCTGAAGCTCAGAATGCTGCCTCTCTGATCGAGTTTTGAGGTACTTCTCAGCAGGTAAACTGGGGGATTTTCCTAGAGGCTGGAAGGTACAGTGCTAATTGGGAGGCCGAGGCAGATTTTGTTTCATTTTGCAGATCTGGAGGGAGAAATTAGTGCATTTGCTCTCTCTGGGGCTCTCATAGCACATGTATTTGTAGAACACATTTGATCAATATAATTTAACTTGTTTTGTGAAAAGCAGCAAAGTCATCAACAAGGAGTGAGTGGAGTCGGAAAATGTTTAAATTGCCAAGTAATTCTCACGTCATAGTTGAGATGTGTCATTGTAAGATCACTATTCTCCCCGACTATAAAATTCTCCCCTATATTTACTACAGCCTGAGCAAAAACTGGAAAAGTGACCTGTTAGGAAATAATTTTAGGCATATTGACTTTTGCACAAATAGATCTGTGCAGTATGTATGTAAACATACGCATGTTTTTGCTTTAAAAGAGCCTTTGACAAATGTACTCTTTATTTTATATTCTTGACCATATCTCATATGGGCCTTTCCACACATATCATTATTATCATAAATTCATCACTGGGAGCTATAAAATAGCCAAATTGTGAGTTATTAGGAAGATGGCTTTCAACAAGTAGCCGAACATTGAATAACTCGAATTCATATTTTAGTAGCTGGGCTTGGGGAATCAAAAGGGTTTTTGTTTCCAGATTTGCTTTATGAAATAACACACACACTTAAGTATAATAAATACTCTCACTTACCAACGCTGGTGACAGTGACACATATCCTAGCAATTTCTTGTACTGCTCAAAGGTGAAAAACTGTGAAACAAAACCAAACCCAGAGATTTATAACAATTTCCTGCAACAAACCCTTTAATTGACTCAAATTTCTTTAGTAAATCATTATATTAACCAGCATTTTAAAAACATGATAAACCATCGAACACAGTTTTCAATCCCGTCTTGGTAGTTGCTATTGGATCTTACTTGAACATTCACGTTTTCCAATGCAGCTATAATAACCGACAGAAGAGCTGATGGGATCCTTTATAGCAATAAATGAACCATACAGCTTCCATTTACCATGACCATTTTCAGTTTCCCCAGACATCAATAGACTTCTTTTTTATGGCAGTGATTCAAAATTATAGGCATAGAGACCTGAAATCTTTGGTCTCCTATGTTTTCTCTATGAAGTGCTTTCCCAGTGAATGCCCAATTTTCTAACCTGCTTGTAAAAGACATCCATTTCTCAGCTTTAACTTGCATTTATATTGCTGTGTATCTTCACTGTTCCATGGAATTTCTAAACACTTAATGATGATGAAGATGCCATGATAAACTAGGGAAGGACCCAACGAGGCCACCTAGTCCATCCTTCCCTTAAAGCAAGATGGTCGTCAACCTGAACGAAGCAGAGCTGCTTGTTCCTTCTTTTAAAATCTGATGATGATTGAAGATTTTGTTGGTTCCTTCAGTAGATGATGTTTAATATAATTTTTTCTGCAAATGAATTTCTATAGAGGAAAATCTAATCAATCACTTCATATAATATGCCCAAAATACATTTTTTCTCCTCTCTTTCTATATTCTACATTTTGGGCAACAACTCTGCTTGAACATGATGATTTGCTCCTGGGTATTCTGTTAGGTAGCTGCCAACATCACTGATGAGGCACACTCTTAGGTCCTGCTAGGCTCTGATGCTCAAGACCCCAGAAATGGCATGGGTATTATATGGTCTCAAATGTCTTCTACTCTATTAGTTTATAAAGTAAAATGGGGCAAGAAAAAAATGTAGATTTAGGGGCCAAAAAATACTCTGTTGTTAGAAAGAGGTAGTTCCATGTGCACATGGGTCTAATGAGTCTTTGGGCAGCCCAAGAGTCGTTACATCACCAGACAGACTTTGATTCTTTTAAAGACCCAGGAACTACTTTTGTGCCATGGTCCTTTAGATCAACTATGCATGTAGACTTTTCTAGACTTTCATTCACTCACTCATTCAACAAATATTTATTGAATGCCTGCTCTGTTCTAGGCACTGAGGATGCCGCAGTAAACAAACAAAGAGAAGCCCCTGCCTTCTTGGTCTAACATCCTAGTGGGTGGTATAACCCTGAAGCTATCCTCGTGTTAAAATAATACTCCCGGGAGCCACCACTGTTTTTAGAAGAGAGATGCACTAGAAACCATTAACCATGGAAAGAAAAGTGTTATAGTCTTAGGCTTTAAAGATGTTATTTTTTCTTCTCTTTTATGTCATCGTCATCACTATTCTTTGACAATCACCTTGCTGGGGTTTTGACGAAGCAGTCCTGTGACAGAATCCTGGCTACGCTACTTAGCTGTGAAAGCATGGGCAAGTCACTTGACCTTTCTAACCCTCAAGAACGCAAAAGTCACCTTCTAGAGTAGTCCTTAAATAAGAGAATTTACTAAGATTTCCTGACATGCCTGGCACATAGGAGACTTTTAGAAAATCTTAGTTTCCATTCCTTTTCTTCACTTTGGCTACTAAAGGAACCGTAGATGCCTTAGTTATTTGTATCCCTTATGACAGCCTGCTGTGGTCCAGGAAACATGCTAAGGCCTTTGCATGTGCTACTACATTTAATCCCTACAAGATCAGCCGGTAACAGGTTATAGTACAGCCGTGATTCCCATTTTATAGCTATACGTCCCGCAGCTAGTGAGTGCAAGGACTGAGAGTTCCCCGACTCTAACTCCGAAATCTGGGTATGCTCTTTTTTTTTTTTTTTTTTTTTTTTTGAGGAAGATCAGCCCTGAGCTAACATCTGTGCTAATCCTCCTCTTTTTGCTGAGGAAGACTGGCTCTGAGCTAACATCTATTGCCAATCCTCCTCCTTTTTTTTTCCCCAGAGCCTCAGTAGATAGTTGTATGTCATAGTTGCACATCCTTCTAGCTGCTGTATGTGGGACGTGGCCTCAGCATGGCCAGAGAAGCGGTGCGTCGGTGCGCGCCCGGGATCTGAGCCCGGGCCGCCGGTAGCGGGGCACGCGCACTTAACAGCTAAGCCACGGGTCGGCCCCAGCCTGGGTATGCTCTTAACAGTGATCTGCGCTTACTCACGGCTGAGCCGTGACTGTTAGTGGTTTGGGAAGAGACTCTCTGCCCTAGAGTCTTCTTGCCCCTGAGGTCTTCCTGCCTTCCCTGACCCTCGAAGCCCAGAGTCCCTCAAGGCAGAAGATTTCAAACTTTTTTGACCACAATCTACGTAAAACATATTTACCCAACACACACATGCACGAATGCAGTGCGCACTTGTACTTATAACTGAAACTAAACATTGCTATAAAAAAATATCTACCCCCTTACTATGTGTAATGCACACTGTTTCTATTCTATTTCATGAAAAAAATTCTGGTCATGACCATTACATCCAGTGACCCACTAAACAGATTTCATGACTCACTGATCATGACCTACATTTTGGAAACCCTGCTCCACGTTGGGTTCACGGAAGCTCTGGGAGATGATGGACCTCATGAAAGGCCTCACTACCTTGTTCCCTTCTGGTGTGAAGATGCATTTTTTTCTTTCTTTCTGACTTTCTGTCATTACAAGGGATCAAGGACGAAACTGGGATCTCAAGGGAGAGCTCTGAGGAAATGGACTCAGCCTGTCATTCTAGCAATTCTGACAGGGAATTCCAAGTCTACACCTTGGGGAAATTCTCTGCTCTTCATTTCCCCATCTCTAAAATTGTTAAGAAAACAAACTACTACTAGCTGACTGGTACTCAGCAGCAGTCTTGCTGCAAGCTTTTGGTGAACAGCTAGGATGAAATGATTCAGATTCTTGGGAACAAAGAAGCTCTACAGGTCACAGCGATGAACTGCTTATGTACTACTAAATTCAAAGTAATGAACCATATATTACCATATATTCTAATAAGAAAATAGTGCTTGAAACTAAAAAAAAAAATCTTGTTTTAATTTCTACCTTTGCAGCCCAAATCTAACTTACTGAATATAAAATAAAACACTATCTCAAGAAAGAAAAAGCTAAAATCTTTTAAAATGAATTTGCAACAACAGTAAAATAATGGACATGTCATCATTACAGTTTGAAACCAATATTTACTAAAAATATTAATTCATTCATTCAACATATGTTTATTGCATATCTCTCATGTTCAAAGCTTAGAAGACATTATACCAGAACCATATTCTTAAGAGCTAGTACATTAGGTGTTATTTTAATTCCCCTGGATACAACACTGGCCAGCCCTGGTGGTCTAGTGTTTAGGATTCAGTGCTCTTACCTCGTCGGCCTGTATTTGTTTCCCAGTCAGGGACCCACACCACCCGCCTGTTGGCTGTCATACTGTGAAGCTGCGTGTTGCTGTGATGTTGAAAGCTCTGCCACCAGGATTTCAAATACCAGCAGGGTCACCCATGGTGGACAGGTTTCAGCGGAGCTTCCAGACTAGAGAGACTAGGAAGAAGGACATGGCCACCCACTTCCGAAAAAATTGGCCATGAAAACCTTGTGAATAGCAGCGGAGCATTGTCTGATAGAGCACCAGAAGGTGCGAGGATGGCGTGAAAAGACCAGGCAGGGCTCCGCTCTGCTGTACACAGGGTCTCTAGGAGTCAGAATCGATTTGACGGCACTAACAACAAACACAACACTCCTCCTTTATGGAGGAGAAATACTTTATGGTATTTCTTACTAATTTCTCATCCACAACATTAATTAATGCATAGAGGTGATAAAAGTACCCTATCATATAAGATATGAGGTCACACTCGAGGGGTGAAATTAGGAGGGTCAATATGTAATAAAGTTACCTCCCCAAAGTCACGCAAATGTGTTACCGAAGAGTTTTGAAAACATTCATATTCATGCAAAGTTTTGGGAACCTTGAATATAAAATCTAGAATCCAAATTAATTACGCAATATAGAACCTATATACTAGAATCTAGAAATTGGCAGTCTCACCCAGGGAGAGGGGCTGTCTCTGGAGGACAGGCCATGTAGCCCCTGGAGAAGGGTCAGTTGAGGCTGGGCAGGGTGGCCGGGACAGTGGGCCTGGGTACCCAGCCTCCAGACTGCACTTTTCCCTTTGTTTTCATCCACGCTCACTAAGCAACCTGATGACTAGCCTGACCTCCCGGATCCTCTGCTCTGGGATGCAGTTAAATTACATGGAAACGGTTTGATCCATTTGGCTCTTGCTTTTAACAAGTGGGACCTGAACAGTGCTCAGACCAGGGCTGGTTATTCCCCACTCCAGAGGGGAATTCCCCACTCCCTTATGAGTGCTCCTTTCAAGGCCCTGTGAATTTTGAGGCCTTCCAGTTTGGCTGGGAGAACAGGCGCTCCTCCCAGCCCCGTGTGACTGCCTGCCGAGCTCTGTTCCCTCTGATCCTTTGGAAGGCTCTGTCCCAGGCCTTGCTAGTTTCTTCCCATGTGTGCAACGGTCCGTTCTCAGTTGAAGACTTGAGGCGACCCTCTGCGGATCTCAGGAGCTCTCTCTGTGGCTCTCCCCTCTCTGGTACTCTGTCCTGTGAACTCTAGCTGCCTTGCCCTCCCCAGTCTCTCAGTTCCTTCTCAGCCCAGGGAGTCCACTGGGCTCTGCCGGGAATTCCCCTGCAGCAGGTCTGGAAAGCCTCTCCAGGCAGTACACTGAGGCAACCCACCCGACCCATCTCATTTGTTTCCCATCTCTCAGGTAGTACACTCCTTCCTTGTCTGATGTCCAGGGTCTTGAAAACTGAGGTTTCAGATATTTTGCTCATTTTTTGTTATTGATGTTTCAGGCAGCAGAGTAAATCTGGTCCCTATTACTCTAGCTTGGCTGGAAATGGAAGTCTTGGCCTTCCAAAAACTCTGAATAGTAGATGTGGGAGTTTGGGGGAACAGGGCAGGAATGTCTCCTGCTATAAATTAAATTAATAAATTTTCTGGGTTTTTTTGTTTTTTTTTTTTTTTTTGTGGGGAAGATCTGCCCTGAGCTAACATCCATGCCAATCCTCCTCTTTTTTTGCTGAGGAGGGCTGATGGGCTAACATCTGTGCCCATCTTCCTCCACTTTATATGGGATGCCGCCACAGCATGGCCTGACAAGCGGTGCCTCGGTGCGCACCCGGGATCTGAACCCCGGGCCGCCAGCAGCAGAGCGCGTGCACTTAACCGCTACACCATGGGGCCGGCCCCAAATTTTCTGTTTTTCTCTCTCTATATTTCATTTATGCATCTAATATTGATTGACCATCTACTGTGTGCAGACACTCTGACAGGTGCAGACACAGTGGTGAACAAACAGCCGTTAACGATTTATAATCTCTCGTGAGTCTGGTGAGTCGTTGAGAGTCTGACCATGGAAAAACAGTGTTTCTGGACCTGTGAAGCTCAAGACTAGACCCTGACCTAAAACGTGGTACCTCCTATCCCGATGGACCAGTTGGTTTCTTTCTGAGGTCTTCATTTCCTTTTGCTAACTGCGATACTAATTCTGTCTTCATTTGTGAAAGGGGAAGTTTCATTTATTTAGCATCAGTGAGCCATTATTTTAATAATGAATCTCATTTCAAAGAAAGAAGTACAGAGGGGCCGGCCCGGTGGCGCAAGCGGTTAAGTGCGCGCGCTCCGCTGCGGCGGCCCGGGGTTCGCTGGTTCGGATCCCGGGCGCGCACCGACGCACTGCTTGGCAAGCCATGCTGTGGCGGCGTCCCATATAAAGTGGAGGAAGATGGGCACAGATGTTAGCGCAGGGCTGTCTTCCTCAGCAAAAAAAGAGGAGGATTGGCAGATGTTAGCACAGGGCTGATCTCCTCATAAAAAAAAAAAAAAAAAGAAAGAAGTACAGAAAAAACTTAATATTGTCTGTTTCTGATTATAGTAACTGAAGTGTCAGTACCAAGGAAGACATATATATACACACACGTATAATATATAATAATATATATAAAATATTCACAGACCATATACGTGTATATATACGTGTGTGTGCGTGTATGTGTGTACATATATATGGTTTCTGAATATTTTTTCAGAAGTAAACTTTGATGACATACAATGAAGCAGTTTACGATGTATGAAATCGTTAAAATCAGATCGCTTTCCTCGCAAATCCTAAGATACAAATCCTAAGATAAAGATCTATAAAATGAATGTTTTCACAAATTGTGTTGAAAAACTAGTGCTATCCATCTGGCAAAGATACACTTAACTCAAGTTATACTTAAAAAGCCAAAGCACTTACCATATGTCTCAATAATTTTAAGGTAAAATCTACTTGAAACAAGATGTCTGGGACACGTGCACCATAACCAATTGCCCAAAAGTTCATCTGTTAACCATGGTTCTGGCAGGGAGCCTTGCTTTCTGTAAGTAGAGACTAACTCAGTTTTGTAAAGCTCAGCTTTTTGTTCTTCCAAAAAAGACTGTTCAACTTTGATAAACCTTAATGCTCTTAAATTGTAAACTGTCTCCGATGTATAGTATTAAGGAAAAAAATTCCAGGGAAAACTTTAATTCTAATTTACTTTCTTTATACATGTAAAACACTGAACAAATGAATATATTATTCTATGGAGACAAAGTGACTTTCCTTTTGAACAGGAACTCTGCTCTGTTTGTTTACTTGGGCAATCTTTTATCAAGTGAAGCCATTTCATAATTCAATTCAGCCCTCTTGTGTACTTTGAGGAACTTTTTCCAGATTCTCTATTGTGATTCAGATCCTTATAATGAAATTTGGATTGAAGTAATAACATAAAATCACAAAAACTATGGCAACAAAGAGGATGAATTTATAAAGTGTGTTTTAAAGCTTTGTTTTCTGAATTGTAGGCCTGAATTAAATCCTATTAAATTACTATGCTGACATAATGTATAAGTTTGGTGTCCGCGTATATATGTTGGTTATTTTATCATAGATTTTAACCTAGTCACCCTCTTAACTTACTGAGTAAAAGTATCTAAGCTGCCCTTTCCTATCATTCAGGAATATTGGGAATATAAATTGAGTAATGCATGTGCAAAAACCTTTACGTCATGAGTTGGAAAGGAAGTCTTTTGGTCTAAGTTTTTGTTACCCTCATTATGGAAACACAAAGCCACATTTGGTGATGGCAGTGGTGTGGGGGAGGGGACAGTGCCAGTCAGAGTCACTGTGATCAGAACTTTCCTTTGAGAGAACATACAAAAGAGTGATCAGATTCAGTTGTTTCTCCCCTGGAGGTCCTGCCAGATCTCTGCGCTCCTATCCGGATACTGAACCAGCAAGCAGAACATAAACCTCCACAGTTATGTGGTTAAAGAATGGAAATCAGCATAGTGGAAGTAATAATTTTGTAAAAACCAGAATAGAGAATTGTAACAGAGGAGACTGGGGTGGGGGTGGGGGGGTGGGGGGGGGAATGAAGTTAGCATGCAAAATAAATGTGTTACAATCACTGAGAATCACATACAAAGAAATATAGTGTATTGGTTTGCTCTGTTCATAAAATGGGAAAAATTTAGGGAAAAAAGGTTTTTCTACTTCTCCTCTCTCCTTTCTTCTCTCTCTCTCTTTCTTTAATAATTATTGCTTCAAAGGAAAATTTAAAAATTGCCTTGAGAAAAAGTCCAAGCTATTTTGTGGCTGCTGTGGTTTGATTACATGAATTTCATTCACCACTGTACTTTTTGTATAATTTCCCCATTAGAAGGGAGTGACTTTATCTGAAAAAAAATCCATAAACCAATATTTGAGAGATTGACCAAGTCTAAATACAATAAAAATTATGCTATAATTTCTGCATTAAAAATTTCAGTGTCGTATGTTTAATGCACATGAATGGCCCGTAGTTCGTTGTCGGATGTTTTAACACGGAAGCTATTACTGTACTCTAGTTTTACTTGGTGGGAAGGAATACAATGCTTACCTTCACTGCTCTTTTTGGTGTTTCAGCCAAGATGGGTGGCAGAATTCCCTTATAAAAACCAAACAACCTATTGGAGAAATAAAAGATTTTATATAAGAAAGAGAATTAAGAAACAGGTAATTCATCCTTTCTTTATGGATAACGCAATTAATCTTAAAGTATTCCCAATTATTCAACGCAGCACACCAATCATGACATCTTCCTTTGTTTTAACTCTAAAGTGGAGAGATTATGAATTCTATGTCTATTAGCACTATGATATTCAGAAGAAGAATAAATGATACTGAGAGTGGAATCCCTTAGGAAAGTTGCTAAACACAACCGTGTATCTTAAAGATGAAGTTTCTCCTCCCCACTCCAAGAACTCTTGAATCTATTTTCTCAGTTGTGTGGTAGGTGGCCTCATGCTCTCTACAGTCTTGCATTTCCTCCCTTGTGGTAACCACATGAGGATAGGGTTTTACCTGAGCCCACTTAGACTCAAGCTATCTGAGGCTAACAAGGTGACGAAATCCTCCATTTTAGCTCTACTAACACAAAGAAACTAACAAGCTCTTTGGCTATGGAACTAGGGTGCCCAGCGCTGTCCTGAATTAGTCACAATTTTTTAACGTCCTGGATGGAGATGGAAGAAGGCCAGGGACACACGTTGCTGACAGAAGAAATGTCAAACTCCCTTGCTGATATGCAATCTCCCAGGGCCTGGGACAGCTATTGTTGCCAATGTTGAGCGACTTGTCACATATGCAGACATTTTCAGAAAAACAAAAACCAAGAAAAAAACCAAGAATGAGTGCCATATGCTTATGATAAGATTTATAAAAAGTCTTATTTTTATTATACCACTTATTTCATATTAGATATAAGTTTCAAAATTTTAAATTTGTCTGCCCTGGAATATGTATATATATGTCATACTTTCATTTTAAACCTGAAAATACATTAATAGAAGAGAATATACTGCATTATTTTCTGAGATAATCAGTTTTCCTGATGAACCCATAAGTGACCTCAGATAAAGGCAGGACTCAACGTGTCCCTATTTTAGGGTGTTCATTTAACACAGGGCTGGAGCTTCTCTGATTGACACCTCCAGCTTCACTCCAATTCCCTTAAATTGGGTTCTGCTTCTAGCTGTGCTTCCAGAACAAGAAAGTTAAGAGTTTATTCAGACTAGCCCACTGTGCCACCCACTCCAACATGGTGACCTCTTGTTCTTCCTCCCTTCACTGGCTTACACAGCACCCTTCAGGGAGGGGCACAAAGGGCTTGTCTTACAGCTTCTAAATTGTTAGCTCCTTGAGGGCTAGGTGTGCATTAGAGTGCTTACCCCAGAGTCTTTGTGTGTCTGTGTGTGTATGTAAGCAGGACACAAATATTTGTGAAGCATATAGATTTCATGAAGAGGAAGAAAAGAATCAAATGATCCCCTGATATGGGCTTACTCTGCCCACTATTTTTGACTTAATGGAAATAGAAGCTCTATATTTATAATGAAAGGTTCTGTTAATATAATTCTGTTATATAGTTTATATAATTATATAATTAATATAATTTATATTCATTCTGTTCTTTCTGTGCTGATTTTTCCACATCTAGAAGATTATGCCTGGTTATGGACAGAAAATTAACAAGAACATTTAAGCAAGTAAAGCTTCTAGAACAGAGTGTCCTGGTTAATCGAGGTACTTGAAATCCCATACAACACAGAACAGTTGTAGGAAGAACAGGTGCTCAGCCTGGAGAAGAAAGATCCTAGGGAGAAACAAGATAAAGATAACACGATGGATCTCTTGAAAGGTGAGCATGTAGGAAAGAGAGTAGACTTTTTTGTTAGTTTCCAGGTGGTAGAACTAGGACCACCAGGTAGAAACAACAAGGAAAGACACATTTTTGGCCCAGTAGGAGCTTAATATAAGGAAGTACTCCTAACAGTCAGAACTATCTGGAGATAGAATGGGCTCTCCTGAAAAGTGGTGGGTTCCCCTTTATGGTATGTGGTCAAGCAATCTGAATGCCACTTGTCATGGATACCAGAGATGGGATGTACACAGCAATGGATAGACTTGATGGCCTTCAAGGTTGGTCTACTCCAATCCTCAGATTTTGTTATTCTAAGGAAAAGAACAAGAGGATATGGGAAAGCGCTTTTCTGAAGAGACAAATTTTGCCTTACTTCAAACTTTAGCCTGAAGTAGAGACTGCTTCTCTGGAGGACAGAAGTCTTATAAGTAACACAAAAGGTCTTCATTTTAAAAATGATGGGAGAAAATACTAAAAAGAGGTGTTACTAAATACTATAAAGAGAGGCAGCTGGCAGAACCATAGATTTAATCTGAAAAGAGCTAGGAGGTCCAGAGCCCCCCGCTTCATGTTGGCGATTCCTCCTGGATGAGTCCTCCTTCCCTTTTCTCTGCAATCATCTTCCCACCACTGCCTCCAGCCATCCCACCATCCCACCATCCTCAACTTTCTAACAGTGAATGAACAGCTTTAGTGGGAAATTCTCAAGGACCGTAGGCAGCTTTGCTGGCAAATGGGAAGCTGGAACTATCTACTTCCTTGTGTTGTTTTCACAGTATATCCACGCAATAGTAGACATCTATGGAATAGTCAGGCTGGCACCTCTTCTGTTGAGAACTGCCCCACCCAATTTTTTTTAAACCACTGGAACCAACATATTAGTACAATATCATACTGCTTGTAGGCAGTGGCTGATTGGGCACCTCACCAAATGGATCCAAACAATATTCTGTCTCTTTGTCCCAGTTAATTTAATCTAAGCTAAACCTAGCAGAGTTTTTCTCCAGGATTTTGGAATTGGAACTGAAAAGGTCAGTCTCGCTCTGTGTGGTTGAATCTCTAAGATATAAAGCTAGAATATCAACAGCAGTCATATTTTCTGTCATTTGAAGAAAGTCAATCTGCAGTGATAAAAAAGAAGGCAGCGGGCCGGCCCTGTGGCTTAGCAGTTAAGTGCGTGCGCTCCGCTACTGGCAGCCCAGGTTCGGATCCCGGGCGCGCACTGACGCACCGCTTCTCCGGCCATGCTGAGGCTGCGTCCCACATACAGCAACTAGAAGGATGTGCAGCTATGACATACAACTATCTACTGGGGCTTTGGGGAAAAAAAAGGAGGGGGATTGGCAATAGATGTTAGCTCAGAGCCAGTCTTCCTCAGCAAAAAGAGGAGGATTAGCATGGATGTTAGCTGAGGGCTGATCTTCCTCACAAAAAAAAAAAAAAAAACAACAAGGCAGCTACCATTCAGGGAAACACAGAAGCAAGATAGAGAAGTTCTGCCCCTGTGAAGGTGACCCTGCTGCTAGGATTTCTTTAAGCCTAGTTACATCTCAATCCTTCTTGAATATTAGCATTTCCCTTTGCTTTTGATTCTTTGAGATATCCAGTAACATCTATAATTAGTTCCTGTTTTTACTTGAATAAGTTTGAGTTGGGTTTATTACTTCCAACCCAAAGTCCTGGATCCAGAAAGTAAGCCTCACGGTCCCTACAGCCAAAGTGGCTGCTGCAGTCCCTCCATGCCACGCCCTCTCACACGACAGTTAAGATGGACACTGGGGCCAATCAGAAGAATCACACTCAAAATTTGAGCAAGAGAATATGGGCAAGAGCTCAAGCCTAGGAACTATTTTTCAGACTTATTAGATAATTACTGCAAGTTTTCCTAATGTAAAGTATGATATACAGATTCTAAAACACAAAAAAGAATTGTACTATTTTAAGGAGATACATTTTTTCCTGCTAAAAAACTGATGTCTTTACCCACATGCACTGTGTATTCTGCCAAATTTTTCTGCCTTCATGTAGTTTTGGCTTGAAATACAGAGCATGTAGCTTCCCAGGATAATAACCAGGGAAGTTAAGAGATCTCTGAAATCTATATCAACATGCTTTACCTTGAGTACTTCTCAAGAAGCAGACTGACACATTCCATCTACTGTCTGGATAAATGGAAAGTGAGATTCTAATGTTGATGTAGCATTAATGGCAGTTCTTTTCCCTGAAAAGACAGGAAAGCCACCACCCTGATTTTAAGTTTGACCCACATCAAGCCAATTGGAGAGGCACAAGAACCAATGCAAGACCTCCCATGAAATTAGTAATGTGTATGTGAACTACAGGGCAGCCTTCATATTTCGTTTCTCAAAGTTGTTACTTCTAAAAGTTGTGAGTTTGATTTTAACTATCCCGTGTAGGAAAATGTTAACTTGGATGTTTATGGACTTTTGTTGATATGGTTATAAGTAAAAATAGTCAAAATTTGTTGAATGCTTACTATGTAGTAGCCACATAAGAATAAATAGAGGTAGGCATATGAACATGTTTTAATCTCATTCAACTCTCTCAACAATCTTTTGAAGTAGGTAGGATAATTGTCTTCATTTTGCAGGTAAGGCTTACTATCACATCACTGCCAAATAAGGTACTCAGACCAACCTCCCCGGTCCTCACAGTTCAAATCCTTGACCACTGGGCTATACTGTGTGGCAGTTTTTCTCAAAATAAAACTATTTTTATAAACACTTGTGAAAGTTAAGTTATTTCTGTTGCAAAAGTGTCTCGTCATTTCTTATTTTAGGAGGAAACAGAAACAGCAATTAAAAACCAGGTTTCTATTCCCATTCCCATTAGTTGTTTTCAGGTAACGTGAAACACTACCTGTGTAACTGACAGATCTGGGCCGAGATGAATGAGATCATTTTTTGTGAAAGCTTTTGGGTTGTTGACTAAATATTTTCTAGTTGGGTCAGAAGGAGAAAACAAAAGCAGGCCCTAGCATAAACTCCCCTCCTGCCCCCCCAGGATACTCTTTGCCCTTAAGAGACACATCAGGATAATTCTGTCAGGTGGGAGAAAGACAATGCTTATTTCGGTAATATGACAAAATACTGAAATACTAATACTAAACACTAAAATAAAAACTGTTATTATCTAGAATGTCAGTGGGGAGCTCTGTTGGTTGCTCACCCAACAGATGCCCTTGTTTCTTGGGGTGCAGGTATTCCCCATCCCCTGTGCTCAGGGAGGAAGGCCCTTCTCCAG